AAAAAAATGACTATTCAAGTTTAATTTTTTAAGATAAGCTGAATTAGAGATTATGAACAACTGGCGAAATAAAAATAAATAAATAAAATTAATCAATAAATAAAAGAAATGAAAAAATAGGGGGGAAAAACCTTTATTGGCATGAAATATTACCACACTGCACAAATATTTTTGTTTGATACTGCTTGAGAATTATTACATTTAATAAGGGGTCGAATGGGGTTTTAAACTTGAACTATCACTAAATGTGATTAATACCCCCACAAGACTGCTTCGGAAATGAGGATGTTACTAGTAACAGAATACCTTGTAAAAGAATTGAAATATAGAGTTATGGTTGTGGGCAATTAAAGATAGTTGTGGTTCTTGTATATTGCATTTCCTTTCAATGTGGTTGGCCAGTGATGAAGTTTTATTGAATTACTTCTGTAATAAGTCCAGAAAGACAAAGAAAAGGAACAAAGGGCAATAACTCTATAAATACTGAAGATGTAGTTTATAGTTCTTGTGCACTGCACTTCCTCTTTTTGTGCTTGACCATTTGTATAAGTTGTTTTGAATTTCAACCAGTATGTTTTAAGTTATGCTCCGGACAAGGAAAAGTATCAAAAGGGCAGTAACTCTGTATTTTGTCAAAATGGAGTTATGGCTCTTATTCACTGCACTTTCCTTTTAATGTCCTTGACAACTGTATGAAGTTGTATTGAATTCCAAACAGTAGTTTTCAAAGTTATGCTCTGGACAAGGAAAAGTAACAAAGCGGCAATAACTCTGTAATTTGTCAAAAGATGGAGTTATGGTTCTTGTGCACTGCCACTTCCTCTCAATGTGCTTGACCATTGTATAGCAAATTATATTTGAATTCCAATCATAAGTCTTCAAGTTATGCTCCGGACAAAAGAAGCAATGGAAAAGCTAAACAAAGCCGGCAGTAACTTTGTAATTAGTCAAGATGGAGTTATGGTTCTTGTGGCACTTCCTCTCAGATGTGCGGTGCACCATTGCCTGATGAAGTTAATAATGAATTCCAACAATTAGTCTTCAAGTTATACTCCGGACAAAAGAAATCCAATGGAAAAGTAACAAAGAGGCAATTACTCTGTAATTACTTTAGATTAGAGTTATGGTTCTTATGCCACATGCACTTCCCCCTTACTATGTTTGACAATTGTAGCGAAGTTCTTTGAATTCCATCCAGTAATTTCCAAGTTATGCCCCGGACAAGGAAAATAGCTAAAAAAAGTAACAAAGGCTCATAACTCTGTAATTAGCTCAAGATAGAGTTATGGTTCTTGCTGCACTGCCCACTTCCTCTCAATGTGCTTGACCATTGTATGTAGTAATATTGAATTCCAACCATTAGTCTTCAAGTTATGATTCGGACAAAAGAAAGCAATGGAAAAAGAAACAAAGGGCAATAACTCTGTAATTACTTTAGATAGAGTTTATGGTTCTTGTGCACCTGCACTTCCCCTTATTGTGCTTTGACAATTGTATGAAGTTGTTTTGAATTCCAACCAGTAGTTTTCAAGTTATGCCCATGGACAAGGCAAAAGTAACAAAGGGCAATAACTCTGTAATTAGTTCAAGATAGAGTTATGCGTTTTCTTGTGCACTGCACTTCCCTCTCAATGTGCTTGACCATTGTATGTAGTTATATTGAATTCCAACCATTAGTCTTCAAGTTATGGTCCGGACAAGGAAAATGCAACGGATGTCTGGACCGACCGACCGACCGACCAACCGACCACCGGGTGACTCCTATATACCCCCCCAAACTTCGCTTTTGGGGGTATAATAATCAGCTATTATTGGTAATTACACTAGAGACAGCCTCTGACAGTGGTGTCAAATTAACTCACTAATTTTCAGTGAGTCAAATGTTAAATTTGCTCATCTAATGCTATCCAATGAGTGCGTTTCACTGGCCATGTAGCTTTCGCAGAAGCGTCGGGTCAATGCTGAAATAAATATGTATCTGTCAGTTTTGATATAAAGACAGAGACTCAGAAAACCCGTCAAATTTAGTTTTTAGCTCGACTATTCGCAGAATAATCGAGCTAATGCAGTCACCCATTTGTCGGCGTCGGCGTCCCTGTGGTTAAGTTTTTGTATGTAAGCTGGTATCTCCATAACTACTGAAGGGAATGGATTGAAACTTCACACACTTGTTCTCTGTGATTATCTAAGATGATTGGCACAAGTCCCATAACTCTGATTTGCTTTTTTCATAATTATGCCCCTTTTTCGACTTAGAAATTCTTGGTTAAGTTTTTGTATGTAAGCTGGTATCTCCATAACTACTGAAGGGAATAGATTGAAACTTCACACACTTGTTCTCTGTGATTATCTAAGATGATTGGCATAAGTCCCATAACTCTGATTTGCTTTTTTACATAATTATGCCCCTTTTTCGACTTAGAAATTCTTGGTTAAGTTTTTGTATGTAAGCTGGTATCTCCATAACTACTGAAGGGAATGGATTGAAACTTCACACACTTGCTTCTCTGTGATTATCTAAGATGATTGGTACAAGTCCCATAACTCTGATTTGCTTTTTTTTCATAATTATGCACCCTTTTTCTACTTAAAAATTCTTGGTTAAGTTTTTGCTTGTAAGCTGGTATCTCCATAACTACTGAAGGGAATGGATTGAAACTTCACACACTTGTTCTCTGTGATTATCTAAGATGATTGGCATAAGTCCCATAACTCTGATTTGCTTTTTTACATAATTATGCCCCTTTTTCGACTTAGAAATTCTTGGTTAAGTTTTTGTATGTAAGCTGGTATCTCCATAACTACTGAAGGGAATGGATTGAAAACTTCACACACTTGTTCTCTGTGATTATCTAAGATGATTGGTACAAGTCCCATAACTCTGATTTGCTTTTTTTTCATAATTATGCCCCTTTTCTACTTTAAAAATTCTTGGTTAAGTTTTTGCGTGTAAGCTGGTATCTCCATAACTACTGATGGGAATGGATTGAAAACTTCACACACTTGCTCTCTGTGATTATCTAAGATGATTGGCACAAGTCCCATAACTCTGATTTGCCTTTTTACATAATTATGCCCCTTTTTCGACTTAGAAATTCTTGGTTAAGTTTTGCGTGTAAGCTGGTATCTCCATAACTACTGAAGGGAATGGATTGAAACTTCACACACTTGTTCTCTGTGATTATCTAAGATGATTGCGCACAAGTCCCATAACTCTGATTTGCTTTTTTACATAATAATGCCCCCTTTTCGACTTAGAAATTCTGGCGTTAAGTTTTTGCGTGTTAAAGCTGGTATCTTCATAACTACTGAACGGAATGGATTGAAAACTTCACACACTTGTTTTCTGTGATTATCTTAGATGATTAGCACAAGTCTCCAAACTCTTGATTTGCTTTTTTACATAATAATGCCCCTTTTTTTCGACTTAGAAATTCTGGGTTAAGTTTTTTGTGTGTAAGCTGTGTATCTCCATAACTACTGAAGGGAATGTATTGAAACTTGAAGGGTTTGTACCTTTTCGGACAATTTTATGTATTCATATAGGTAAGCATTATTATACTCAATGAAACACCCTTGTGACAAATTTTCGAATAGTCGAGCGTTACTGTCCTCCGACAGTTCTTGTTAATCATTTTGACAGCGTAATATATCTTCAATAATTAATTCAAATCAACAGGGAAAAGTGGCGTTTGATTTGAATAAGAGATCTTCAAAGTATGTATACATAAACTGCCTATATGTCTTTAATTAAATACTTTATAGAAGAATGAACGAAAAATCTGACCATACAAAAAAGGAGAAAAGGGTACAATAATAATTATAAAATGTTCCCCTTGTTCACTGCCGCAGCGTTTTGACCCCCCATCACATCTGCGAAAGCAATGGCCAGTGTGATATTAACATTTTTTTCAAGATGAAACAACCATTTTCATTGGATAAAATAAGTTGTGGCCTCAATATAATAACTGGTGGCCATGAGATAATAACTCTTGGCCACAAGATAGTAAGTCTTGGCCACGAGATAATAAGTCGTGGCCACAAGGTAATATAATATCTTGAGGCCGCAAGGTAATAAAGCTTGGCCACAACTGCAGATGTCACCTCTATGCCACTGTACAATCCATTAAAAAAAAAAACAAAGTTATTAGCCACTACTAGCAAAATTCAAGCAAAATTTTGACATTCAACCTTGAAGGTCAATGTCATTCTATGAATGAAGGTCAAGTTTAGTCTAGTCTTCTTAAAGAGTTTGTCCCAAGGGTTGTTTTGAGCCAAGTGTATGAAGACAATACACTAAGAACTTAAAAAGTTGCGGAGGGAAACAGCAATGGAAACGGTTCCATGACTGTAACAATACCTCTTTTTTCAAAAAGAAAGTTGAGTTAAACAATGTTATCCATACTGACCTCATCCTTTTAGGGGATAGGGCATCACTTTGCAATGTGTCATAATAGTGATCATATAGACATGTACGGCAGTATAGGGAGTGCCTATCAGTATTTTACAATGGTTCTGAAAAATAACCCCTATTGATGACCTGTTAACGTAAGAGTCATGTGGTTAGCAGCAGGGGCAGCAGACAGGCCTGTAAAACTCATTTTTATATACTACTGAAATTTGAAGTTGATACCCTAAGAAATGAAAAGGTTATAGAAAAAAAATATTTTACTACACCAAAATTCTAATCTGAAATCTGAACGCGGACGTTGTGATTGAATCCAAACAGATCTCCATATACATCGTATAGTCGAACTTAAAATTAAATAGCATTGAGAATTGTGATTAGTCATTCAATTTTTCAGGCTTTAAATTTATAATTATGTGAATGCTTTGTTGTGATTTTCTGGCACGAAGATAGAATTTCAATCTATATTTTTGTCACTTGCTTAAATATAGGGCACACAACTGTATTTTGAAAAGGTTGTAAACATTTATTAATGCATCTGAAGAAACAAATTATAGAAGAAGCAAATAATGTAAAAGTAAAAAGATACAATTAAATCACATTCGTTATGATATCACAGTCTTAGATGAACATTGTCATTATTTTTGATCACATTGTTCTAGCTTGACTACATCTCAATGATTCATCATTGTAAAAGCGGCTTCCTTACTTTCATTTTTGTTGGCGCTTGAAATCGGTGTCGATGAAGGAGAGTTTCTGAAAAAAATATGATATTTTGATTAGGACGATAAGCCAGTTTTGTTGCAGACAGAAATGATTTAACTTTTAAGTGACAATATGCTCATCTTCCTCTGTCATATAACAATATGCTCATCTTCCTCTGTCATATAAAATGTCCTAAAAAACTTCAACTAATTGTCTTTCGATATGAACAGTGGCAAGAACAAACAAGAGTATTTGTGACCCTAGTGAATGCTCTCACACATTCACATTGCTAAACTATTTGCAAAAGTAGAAATACAACTTTTGATACAGTATTGTGGCCCCTACAATTTCAAACACTGCAAAAGTAGATTTCTTTCCATGCAACGTAACTTGAAGAAGCACGTTGGTAAATAATACTATATATATTGGCAAAGAACGAAATATTTATTTGGAGTAATAGAAACTTCATTCAAGTGTAACCTTTAACATTTTATGGTTTATAAATGTCAAATATTCAATTTTCCAGAAAATGAGGATGTACTCTAACACGACCTGCAGTTATCCCTATTGAACATAGAAGAACCGAAAGTGTGTGTTATTATGCTATAAGGGCATTTTTCAAAAAATGTGCAAATTCTTGTCCCACAGCTATTTTCATAATTATTTTACATAATTTATTATAAATATGCATTTTTCTTTTACTGTGTATTCATCTAATATATCATTAATAATTTACACAGATTCTTCTGATATAACAGATAATGCCTGTCCGGATATATTGATTAAAAATATTTCTTGTATAGTAAAATTAAAGGTGTCACAATTTAAAAAAATAACATTGTACTGAAACTGTTAGCACTTAAATATATAAAAATAGAAGAACATTTATATTTTCTAAGTAATTCATAGACAAAACAAGATTTCTTTTAAATAAAAGACAACCCTTATTTGTATATTATCATATTTTTTTTTAAATTCCAAATTTGTCCCATATTTGATTTCCATCCTGTCACAACACAGAATTGTTTTTTCCATAAACAATTATTAGTCCCTCTAACTTCCTGATTTATGTGTACAGAAGTAGTCTCCCTTTTCAAAAACAAAATGGTGCATCAAGAACAGTCATTGTTGGCGCATAGATGCTTTTTCCATGAAAATAATTGCTGACGGACAAGGTGAGTACATCTTAAATCTTTCCTTCCTGTCACTGTCTTTTTGGAGGCATAACTAGTCATAAAACCTTTCTTCTATTTACCATGTTTTGGTACATGATGTGCATTTTAAAATTTTCCTCCACATGAACTTGAAAAGGGACCAGTTATTATTTTTATTGTTTTTAATCATTTATTTTCCATACTGTCCCATTTCCATTCTGTCACATTGAAATTTTGTGACAGGAAAGAATGTTTCTGTGACAGGAAAGAAAAATTGAAATAAAATTATGTTTATATATTGTTAAATAATGTTTTATTTTAAAATATATCTAAAGCCCAGTGATTTTGTAACAAAAACATAACATATTACCAGTAACACAAACCCAGAGCAACACCATTCGCCTGCTTTTTGAACTGACTACAATGTTTTTGTTTTATTAAATATATATGTAATTGCCCCCATTTATGATTAAAGTACTACATTATCTTAAAAAAAATTAACATAATAGATTCTTATTGATTAACCCAGAGTTGCTATGGTTTTTCCAATATTGTTATCGCTAACATTTTATTATGCCCTGATGGAGTATTTGGAGAATTATTGTTTTTTGTCCCATCCTGGGTCCTGTAGGTCTGTCTGTCTGTCTCAAAAGTTTCAACTTAGTTTATTTATTTTCTCCATTACTTGACATATTTATTTTCATATAATATGTTTTTTACAAAAAGAACTGCAAAAAAAAACCATTACATATCACCTTGACCCTCCAAATGAGCTTTTTTTGGATAGCATAAATTTGCAAAAAAAATCCTAAAAAAAAATAGCATTGTTAAATTTCTAAGACATGACCTCAGTAAAACTTCAGTACATATTGACCTTCACCTACTAAGGACCTTAACCTTTAAAGTAAAGAATGTTTCAAAAGGTCACCCAAAAACTTTAACATTGTTTTAATTCCCTTATTAGCTGACAGATTCTTTTCATATTCACACACATTATTCCTTGTTTTAGGTATAAAATGGCATTGGCTGCAGAGCATGCACATTGATACAGACAGAGAAGGGACGCTGATTCACAGAAAAGGGCATCTTCCCTTATACTCTGTTTGTCCAGAACTGGGAAACCCCATTGTAAGGCAGCATCTACATCGTACCATACAGCCTAGACTTCAATCTTTACAGACCACAGTTCATATCATGTGGACTAGTACAAGGAGTGATATGCTTGACAAGAACTGGGTACCGAATCATTTTGCACCCTCGATACCCATTGCTCCACCTGATTCTGATGATGCAGTAGAGCCCTCTATTCCAACCTGTTCAGACACGAACTCAAGCAAAACAGTTTTTTTACAGAAAATACTTTGTTATTGCTCAACACATTTGTTGCTGTTAGGTATCATGGAAAACCCTACCCTGGGCAAGTAATTGATGTGAGCGAAAGTGAAGTTTTTGTTTGGTGCCTCCATCAAGTGGGCAAAACAAAGAATGAGTTTTATTGGCCAAAGTTAGTTAAAGATGAATGCTGGTACAAGTTGGGAAATATTATTTTGTACTACAGTAGATGAGCCGCAGGTGAAAGCTTCCACGTCTGTATACAAACATCTCATTTTCAAAGAGTTATTAATAATAAAATGAACCTACATTTATTGGCTCTTTATGTGCTAGTATTATGACTATAGAAGATTGTCATTTATAGCAATGCCGGCAAAGTATTTGTTAATAAAAGTTGAATTACATTTTAAAATGTTATAATTAAATATTATAGCGCATTAAAGATCCTGTACATTGATTTTTGGATGGCAAATTTAGATTCAGTTAAATAGAATTGAGTAAAAGTTTGTGCATTTGGTAAACCTACTGTTTTGAAATGGATCCCTCTTTGCATTATAAACAAGTATACCAAGTTTTAAGTGGATATCATGATATTGTTTTGTGAAATGAACACAAACCACAGTTTTGAAAGTTAAATAAGAGCAATAATTTTAGTAAAGTATTTTAAGGTTACACACCTCTTCAAAATAGATTCATTTTTTGATAATGAGCTATTACTCCAATTAAGTTAAACAACTTTGTAGAAAGAATATTTTGGTTACCTGCCTTTTTGAAATGGATCCTCCTTTTGATATTGAACAAGAGTTTTAAGTTCAAAGTGAATACCTTTAAAAGGTTTTTAAGACAGTAAAACCAATTAAATACAAGGCAGTCTGAAGGACAGCTAAATTCTCTTCCACAGTGAACATGAATGTGTTTCTTCTTGACCTTTTACCAGCCATTACCTTGATGTTATGCCATGCATATCATAAGCACATAGTCTCATGATGGTGATTTTTTGTGCCATGTTATTTAAAATCTTCCATAAAGTAAAAAAAAAAAGTTATGGAGAGCATACAACCTTGACCTTGGGGTAGCAACCTGGATGTTGAACTCTGCAGATTGTGTCATGGTTGTGATCATTTGTGCCAAGTAATTTTACAACCCTTGAATTGTCTATAAGTTTATAGAGCGGACATGAAAAATAGATGCTTTTTACATTGGACCTTTGATTGTGACCCTGACCTTCAGGGTTGTGACTTGATTATTGTGCTCTGCCAATGGTGTCATAATGGTAATCATTTCTGCCAAGTTATCTTAAAAACATTGCAGCAGTTTAAATGTTATGTACAGACACAAAATGTAGACTTTTCTAAAATTTGACTTGTAAATGTGACCTTGGGTGTAGCAATTCAATTATTATTGCGCTCTGCACATCGTCTCAAAATGGTGATCACTCATGCCAAGTTATTTAAAAAAAACTTTTCAGCGGTTTTAAGGTTATGGAGCGGATACAATTGTACGTCTTTTAACACTTGACCTTTAAATGTGACCTTGACCTTGGGAAAGCAACCAAATTATTGCGCTCTGCACATTGTCTCATAATGGTAATCACTTGTGCCAAGCTATTAAAAAAAACAGAGGTTTAAAAGTTGTGGAGGGGGGATATGAAATGTAGACTTTTATAAATTTGACCTTTAAGTGTGACCTTGACCTTTTGGGTAGCAAGCCATTATTGCGCTCTGCATGTTGTCTTATAATTGGGATCAGTTGTGACAAGTTATGTTAAGTATATGGAGCGGATAACGAAATGTAGATTTGTTATTATGAAATGAAGACTTTTTAACATTTGACCTTTAAGTGTGACCTTGACCTTGGGGGTAGCAACCCAATCATTGCATAATGCACATCGTCTCAAGTTGTTTTAAAGAATTAAAGCAGTTAAAAAGTTATGGAGCGGACACGAAATGTAGATTTTTATTATGAAATGAAGACATTTTAACATTTGACCTTTAAGTGTGACCTTGACCTTGGGGGTAGCAACTTAATTTTTGCGCTCTCCATATCGTCTCTTTATGGTTGTTACTACTTGTGCCAGGTTATTTCAAGAAATTTTCAGTGGCTTAAAAGTTATGGTGCTGACACGAAAGTGTTACGGACAGACAGACTGACAGACAGAGGCTATTCCTATAATCCCCTTTCTGCTACGTGGAAGGGGATTAATAATTAAAGGCGTAGCTGAAATAATATTTTTTCCTTCAAAGTAGTTTGTAAAGCCAAGCTAATAAAATATGCAAGTTTAAAGAATGTTTTCTTACAGTCATGCCACCAAAATAATGTACAGTTTCTGACACACTTATTAAAGAGTGTGTTGCTATACACTATACTGTCACTAGCATGTCCATTGGGTTATATTTACAGCTGCAGAACTTTTCATTCTGCGTAAGAGTAATGCTTTGTTCATGTATGCCTTTTGAACAGACATTTAAAATGTCACAGTACTGTTAGAAGATGTATGAGGTGTAAGCCATCAATGCTAGAGTTTTGTTCAAGTTAATTGGTTTAATAAAAGTTGTTATTTCATTCTACAATAAAAAGAAATAAAAATGCTGTCAATCATTATTTCATCTTTCCTTCCTGTCACGTGACGTTCCTTCCTGTAACAGTACAGTCCTTCCTGTCACATGACAGTTTTATCTAGTTTTCTCAATACTTGTTCAATAATGGAAATAAAATTATTTATATAATTCTAGGTTATTTTATATTTTATTATGTAAATGAAAAATTCAGTTCGACAAATGAAGTAAGTGAACATAAAATTAAAAAATCAGGACAATATAATATACATTTATTGGAATTCTTATTTTAGAAGTTCCAAATTTATTTCTTTTAATGAAATTTAAAAAAAAACTACTCTGTATAATATATACTAATGAATAATAAATATACAAATAAAACAAGTAAAAAATAAACATTTTTTACCAAAATAGAGCACAAAAACTGTCTGTGACAGGAAGGAATTACACGTTTCACATCCCTGTATTTAAGTCACCGGTCCTATAAATGAACATATCTGGGAGGTCCCCCTAGTACTTTGAATTATCATTGAAAGTCAGTACATGATTTTAAACATGAAAAAGTAAAAGAAGAATGCCTGTGACAGTCTTATAAAAAATCAGTAAAAAATTGCACATTTTTTGAAAAATTCCCATAAATTACTGATGATGTTCTATATTTCTATATTTAGACATGTGACGTAATCATTATACATGTGACATAACCACAAATAAATGTGATGCGCTTAAAATAAGTACGGAAACAAATCAGGCACAAATGCACTATTCCATCAAAAGCATTCATAATTTTTTAGGGAAAATTTCAAATGATGTCAATAGAATCAAAATAATATATTGGTGATTTAATCGCTTGGTAAATCACTGTTTGCGGTTCAGATGCGCATCACTATATCACTTTGGGCTATGCCCTGTGATATAATTCCTCGCATCCAAACTCCAAACAGTGATTTTACTTGAGCAATAAAGTCACTTTGTGGGATGTATTATTTCTTAAATAAAAACAGTAAGCAATGAAAGTGTGTAAAAGGACGTACTTAAAGACCACTGTATATATGGCCCCATCTATAGTTATTTCTTATTTTAATATGAGGGACAATCCCATATAACATAGACTTTGCTGTTAAATATCATCTAATTCAAGTGTTAATATCATCTAATTCAAGTGAACGTAAAACAAGATATGTTTGTAAAACATGTATGCCCCCTATGGGAAGCCAATTAGTCATGTGATCAGGTTGCATGACTTCTGACCCAGTGAACAAAAAATTAATAAGGGTTTTCCACTGGTCATATAAAGTTTGAAGTTCCTAGGCCTAAGCATTGTTTAGTTATTGATTGGAAACCGTTTTAACTTACAAGGTCAATGTGACCTTGACCTTTGACCCCAAAATCAATAGGGGTCAACTATTGGTAATGACCAATCATCATATAAAGTTTGAAGTTCCTAGACCTAAGCGTTCTTTAGTTATTGATCGGAAACCGTTTTTACTTACAAGGTCAATGTGACCTTGACCTTTGACCCCAAAATCAATAGGGGTCATCTACTGGTCATGACCAATCATCATACCAAGTTTGAAGTTCCTTGGCCTTAGGGTCCTTAAGGTAGAGTGGAAACCGTTTTTAACTTCAAGTAAATGTGACCTTGACCTTTGACCCCTTGACTCCAAAATCAATAGGGGTCATCTACTGGTCATGACCAATCACCATACCAAGTTTGAAGTTCCTAGGCCTAAGCGTTCTTTAGTTATTGATCAGAAACCGTTTTTACCTACAAGGTCAATGTGACCTTGACCTTTGACCCCTTGACCTCAAAATCAATAGGGGTCATCAACTGGTCATGACCAATCACCATACAAAGTTTGAAGTTCCTAGGCCTAAGCGTTCTTAAGTTATTGATCGGAAACCGTTTTTATTTACAAGGTCAATGTGACCTTGACCCCTTGACCCCAAAATCAATAGGGGTCATTTACTGATCATGACCAATCATCATACAAAGTTTGAAGTTCCTAGGCCTAAGTGTTCTTTAGTTATTGATCGGAAACTGTTTTTACTTACAAGGTCAATGTGACCTTGACCTTTGACCCCTTGACCCCAAAATCAATAGGGGTCATCTACTGGTCATGACCAATCACCATACCAAGTTTGAAGTTCCTAGGCCTAAGGGTTCTTTAGTTATCACTCGGAAACCATTTGGTCTACAGACCGACGGACCAACGGACCGACAAATGCAAAGCAATATACCCCCTCTTCTTTGAAGTGGGGGCATAATAAGAAACATCAATATGACTGGTAATATTTCCAGTGCATTCTTACAAAATATTGAAATGAAATAAATTTAATTTCATAGCATGACATGACAACTTTTTTGAACAAATATGCTCCATGTGGGATAGACGACTGTTAACATGTTTTCAAACTACCTTGAAAATTCAAGTTGGCAATGAATATGGAGGGAAATATCCGCCAAAAGTATATGTATCTTAATAAGGACATGTTTATGATTTGCGTAAGAATTACGTTGATATGTGTGATAATTTTGTCGTTGATATGCACTATGATACGAGGAGTAACTATTGGACGTCTTATGGACTTAGGAAATGGAAGGTGCCGGGCTGGAATCAAGAATTCAACTAGAAATGTGTCGTCACGCCACAGATGCTGCATACAGCCAAAGCAGATGTTATAATATTTAGTTCCAAATTTGTTTGCACAAATTATTTTTCCATTTTAAGTTCAAAGCCCTTAAAACTATTCAATGTTAACACAAACCAGGCACTGAAACTATTCAGTGTTGACCTTTTGTAAACTGCATATTGCATATTTGTAGCGAAAATTATGGCTACATACACTTCCACAAAATTATGAGTGCAGAAACTGAAAATTCAAAATTTTTCCAAACTTGAACTGCTTATTCCTAAAATGTATCTACGTTGAATGTGTATAACCATTGGGAAGATAATGAAAAAACTAAAACTTTCTGATTTTTTTCAAAGTTCAAGAGGGATCAACTATCATCAAACCATGTCCAAATTGGAACTTGACCAGTGTTTTCTTATGACATGTCTATATTTTAAATTTGAGTTGAACATGTACAACTGATGGGATGATGATGAACGGAAACTGAAAATTTCCGTTTTTTTTCAAAGTAAAAGGGGCATTACTCTGTCAAAGATCATCAAACTATGACCAAATTCAAATTCGGTCATGCACATCGTCTCAGTATACAGACCTGACACGAAAACTCCTATATAAGTCTATATAAAACAATAAATCCCCGGGGCGGAGCCAATTTTGATCTTAGCTAGGAAGTCCGAACTTGTGTTCTGGACACCGTGTCAATATGAGTTATATTTCTGCTAAAAGTTTTAATTTCTTTCTATCAGTTCAAAAGATACAGTGTGGAAACAAAATTTTGATATTGATACAAAATGGCTAAGGGTGACCTTGGCCTGATAAAGGTCAAAACTGCACATGATGGTTTACATTTCTGCCAAGTAGTTTTAATTTCTTTCCACCGTTCAAAAGGTACAGACTTGACACGAAAACCTGTTTACAGACAGACGGACAGACAGACAGACAACCAGGTGCATAATAATATATGCCGAAATTCTTTCGGGCGTATTCAAAAGGATCCTTTGGAAGTAGTGAAAACAGCAAGATATATTAAAGTTGCAGACTTGGTTTGTTTGAGGGCAAGATCTGACGCTTCCTAGCACTGTCATTCAATCATTGAAATGATCATTTTCTATTTTTACTATTACAGAAAAAGAATTGCATTGTATAAAGAATATACACTATGTAAATCTAACCAAACAGAAATCTATTGGAATATGTATCAGATTATGAAAGCTCATCATGCTTACCCATAACTGTTATTGTTATTGTCAATGATAGATCTGTTGAAGACCTCTTCCTCTTCTGAACTTGAGTCTAGTTCAATGTCCTTCTTACCAAGTCTTGGAAACTTCTTACCAAATCTTTGAAATAGAAAAAAAATAAAGGAAATTTTTTTACAGTACGATGAACTTTATCCCATATAGTATGGTCACAATTGGTGCTGAATCTATGTGAAATTTTCATTACAGTAGAACAAATTGTGTTTTATACCAAAGATGATCGCATAATTATTATGTCTTTTATATCACAAAATTGTGGCATAATTTTTTTGTGTGTGGTGCTGGCTTAGAAATCCAAGATGGCGCCCAAAATGGCTGCACAATTTTTTATTGAAGAAATTTTATAAGTCACATGTAATTTTCTTATTATAATAGCAACATAATAAATGTCATCCCATAGCAAGGTAAGAGTTCTTATGTATGTGCATTTTGTGTAGGAAATGCAAGATTAATGTGCAAGTGGTAGAGGAGTTAGAGAAAAAGGAATACCATTCTTATCAAATTTATAGGATCATATATTAAAAGTTTAGGAACTATATTTAAACTAGAAATGTAGCGTCACGCCACAGATGCCCCGCATGCAGCCAAAATTTCATATGTTCTAATATTTAGTTCCAAATTTGTTTTGCACAAATTATTTTTTTTATTTCAAGTTAAAGCCCTTAAAACTATTTATATTAACACAAACCAACTATTCAGTGTTAACCTTTTGTAAATTGCATATTGCATATTTGTAGCGAAAATAATGGCTACATACATTTCCACAAAAGTATGAGTGCTGAAACTGAAAATTCAAAATTTTTCCAACATTCAAGAGAGATAACTTTCAAATTTTGAGTTGAATGTGTACAACCATTGGGAGATAATGAATAGAAACTTAACATTTCTGATATTTTTTCCAAAGTTCAAGAGGGATAACTCTGTCAGCTATCATCAAACCATGACCAAATTCGAAAATGACCAATGCATGCTTATGACATATCTATATCTTTAATTTTGAGTTGAATATGTACAACTGTTGGGGAGATAATGAATGGGAACTGACAATTTCCTTTTTTTCAAAGTTAAAGGGCATAAACTCTGCCAAAAATCATCGAACCATGACAAAATGCAAACGTTTGACCTGCCCATTTCTTTGACGTATCCATATGTCAAATTTGAGTTGAATTTTGTAATAACCTAGAGGAGATAATGAACGGAAACTGAAAATTTCATATTATTTTCAAAGTGAAAGGGACATAACTCTGCCAAAAATCATCGAACCATGACCAAATTCGAACTTGACCTGTATTTTCTCATGATATATCCATATATGAAATTTGAGTTGAATGTGTGCAACCGTTACTAAGATAGTGAACGGAAACTGATGATGACGGAATGACAGATTGACGGAACAGGGTAACACTATATGCTCCAGCCATTATATGGCGGGGGCATAAAAAATAAGCCATGCACAGGTGAGAAGTAAAATTTCTTAAAGCTTCGTCTATGTATTTCATTCTGACATCCTGACATAGGAACTTTTATCTAAAAATGATAAGCGTGTTTCTCATAAAAATACACGGTGAAGTTGCTGGCATATAAAGAACCGAATTCTTAATTAAGAGGTCGTGAATATGAGCGATATAGATAAATCCTTTCTCTGACCTTTTTATTTGAATAATAATAGAATTGTGCCGGAAATGTACCTTATACTTCACTTGATTACCTCCCTTTTTATAAATTCGCCATTTGCATTAAAATATATAGCAATTCATGTATAAATTTATCATGATATAAAGAGTAGGTATTTTAATCATTCTTACTTTCAAATCTGTATAACTTTAGAATATCCTTCAAAGTGTTTATATTTGAAAATTTGTTAATCTATTCACAGTAGTTCATAAGAAAATAACTTTAAGAAACAGACGCTTATAACATTTTGTTAGAATCAGTATCAAGAAAGGTTTTATTTTTATTAGCCAATCAAAATCATTGTTTTTATTCACTGCCGAGATGGTGCAATCACTAGTATAAGGGGGGGGGGACCTAAAATGAACAATTTTGTATTTCAGTGTGACCAGAAACACAATTCCAAATATTCAAATCTGTTTCACAGGCAGATAACCAGTTTGCACAGCATTATTCAATGATATATGACATACATTGAAGAAAATGATAGTTTGCATGCATTGCTCCTTGAAAAAATGACTGACAGCAATTTATATTTACCCCCCAACCAAGCCAAAATCACACCTAAAAATATACCAATATGGGCAATCTTCATGAAGGTACAGCATATTCCAGAAACCCGTCTGATTCCTTTAAAAATATCACTAACACGCAGTGCAACCTATGGCATTTTCAAAAATGACCAATAAAGTGTCTCTCATATGTTTAGATTTTTCATAAAATTTATCCGAAATTTCTTACTTGTTTGGCGCCAACTGTCAAGGCTTGATTTTTAATTTTTTCACCTCCATAATCGGAGAGTCACAAACACATACAAAGCTACCAAAATGCTTAGTTTCGGGCAAAACCCCAAAAATACTTCTCATTTCCTACACACAAACAAGAAAGAATTACAATGCCAGAGAAATATCAGAAGTTTCAAGTACCTTCAAAACACCATGTCTAAGTTATTAAAAAATTTGACCGGGGCCATAATTCGAATATGTCCCCTGCCCCCTAAATAGAGAGAGCGCAGCGCAAAAGAGTCAGCTTGGTTTTGTCCGTGAGGCAGATCATAGCAGTATTATATTTACTGGTACACAGAAATCTTAGATATCTGGTGCTGAAAATATCATGCTGTTTCTGTGAAACCTCATGGACAAACGTTTGATTGAGGAAAGTTTGAGAAATAGGTATCTACGTTAGTCTGAAAACTTATGTCCCTGTATAGAAGTATATTATGTATAGGAGGAAACGACATAGTAAATACATTATAGTGTACATGAATCGCTTATATCTGGCACTATAAGGACGCTTTACTTATTCTGTCAAATCTCTGAGTAAATGTTTAGTATTTTTGGGAAAAAGATATTTGAAATATGTTTGGTTATGTCCTTGTAAGAGTCAGATCGTAGCATTTTCTTGTACACAGAAATCTCAGACATCTGGTACTGAAGTGTTGTATTGTTACAGTAACACCACTCAGGCCAACGGTTGATGTTAAAACTTATATATATATAGTTACTAGTACACAGAAATCTCTGGTACTAAGGATGCTATATGTATAAGACAAATGTTCAATGAAGAACTATTTTTTATGAATGTTTGAAGTAATGTATTTTAGGAAAGAAATGTAGGATAAAAGTTTGTTGAAATGTAAAAACATGTAGGAGAATGAAGGATAGGTTTAGCTTTGAATTGATATTTGAATGAAAAGTAGCTTTCAACTGGTATTTGGTTGAGAATTGTTTTTAAGAAAATAGATTGTTTCTTGGATAATATACGAGGGGTGATCCAGAAATAACCGGACTAACTCTCTAAAATATTTATTCTTTATGATTTTTGCATGAAGTCTGTACGGTACCAAATGTAATATAGATTAAACTGATTCTGTTGGATTGTGTTTGTTTGGATTTTTACGGCACGTCAACACATAACTGGCCATATCGTGCCAAATGCTATAATAGGCTTAAAATGTTATGTTAAACTTTGTAAATGACAATAAAAATGAGCCAATTAGATCCTAGAATACAAGTTTATCTCTTTCAAATAGTTAATGATGTTTTTTGATGGAATTGTATTAAAGAGTTCTTTGAGTGAATTTACACAATAAAATCTATTACAGGCCTGTGAAAAATCATGACATTCAAGAAGAAAATGCTACAAGCTACACATTAAGGGGCATTGTCATTCGTGAGGAGATAAGAGTGGGTAATTTTAGTGTGTCCAATTCGGCATCGAAGAAGAACTGTTTGATCATGGCGGTTAATTCTGTTGGAAATAAAAATATTATTTACAGATGTATTCCGTTCTTTTATGCGTAGTCATGGAAACACACTAGCGCAAGAGTGGGGAAAGTAATTTTCATTCATAAATTGCTATTTTAAAGCTGGTTTTGAACATAATTCGGATTTTGCATTTTCTAGACCCCAAGCCACATAGTAATGATGAGTCATGGTTCATGGTTATGGTTATTTGATCCGGAGACGGAGGAACAATCCTGTCAATGGAAATCGCCGGACTCACCAAATCCAAGGAAAGCTAAAGTGTGTAAAACAATAGGCAAACAAATGTACATATTTTTTGCAAATCATCGGGGGATGATTTTGCAACACGGTATCCCGCTCGGACAGACAATTACAGAAAGGTAGGTTTGTAGACATATAAATGATTATAAGACTGGTATCTTAATATGTTCAACGAATGGTTATGACGACATCAGAAGTGTGTGGATGTAAACTGTGATTACATAGAAAATTAACTGTCAGAATAACTTTGGGTGACTTCAACGTCAACGTTTGTGGGATGACTGTCCCGCACACACGGAACAGTGTTTGTATGTATTAGTGTTGTTTTTTGCCATAATGCATTGAAATTTTTAGGAGTCATGCATTGAAACTTATGTCAGATATTTTTTCGGGATTTTCTCTTTGTGTCTTTGTTAACCCAAGTTATGCGCCCAGTCCAGTTATTTCTAGATCATCCCTCGTATTTTTGAATGATTCGTTTCATATGAAGAATTGTTATACAAGAAATTTAAAATTGAGAAGCAGACTCACATTAGACTATTCTCTGTAATTGGTAGTGCAGCTTTCATTATGTGGAGACCTCTTTTCTCAAAGTATGCCAAAATCACTCATATTTTCCCCAAGAAAAAGGCTGAGGCCCCTTCCCCAACAAGAACCCGTTTAACCGTGTGATGCTCCCCTCGAAGGTTTTGGACACAGGAAAGTATAAAAAAATGAACAAAGGACAAAAACTCCAAAATAAGGCAAGGCAGAGTTATGGGGTTTTTGCACTGCACTTCTATTCAATGAGATCTATCTATCTATAAAGTTTCGTAGTAATGTTCCGGGTAAAATTTAAAGTGTAAAAATGAACAAAGGGCAATAACTCCAAAATTAGACAAGGTTGTGTTTAGGTTCTTTAGC